TTTTTTTTTTTTTTTTTTTTTTTTTTTGAGTTTGTTAGGACTTGTACTTTTTAATGTTAGGAGGACATACACCATCTGGCATCTGTTTCTCTTTGAACCCTGAACCATGAGACACATCAATACCACACATTGCAGCTCTGCTACTCAGTGCAAGACTACATCTCTGCGGCGACTGCATCTCTCCGGCGACTATGTCTCTGCGGAAACCTCCCTCCTCCTACTACAATCTCTCCCATCACTTTGGCTGTTGATAGCATTATGTGGACCAGCCCCTGCAGAGACGTCGAACTATGTGAAGAACAAGTCAGTTAGGACACCAACCATTTAACATGCAGAGACGTCGAGCATCCATGTGTTTCACCTGGCCCCCAACCAGAAGACGTATCAAATCCATAGATTGAGAGTCCTCCTCAGGCTACATTTCATTTGCATGGCAACGCATACAACTATTTAACATTTAGTAATTTACACCTTTCGCTTTGGCGGTTGACGATTTTCCTTCGCGATGTGATGCACAGAACAGCAAAGCCACCAACAGAACTTCCATTTGTGTCATATGGACCCCAACCGAAAAACACGTGCAATCCGCACAGATTGACCCTCCATATATACTCTCCTGAAAGTTACACTCCTGCGGCAACCCCTACACCTGAAAAGTGCTGCACCAACGACCAACACTATCTATCTTCCACAGAAACATAGCTTTAAAAACGGCCTTTGGGCTAAAGAATAGATAAAGTGTAGTATTCGTTCTGATCAGTATAATATCCGATCCGAGGCCATTGCAATCAGACTCGCGATCTTCTTCACTTCGCATACATGTAAACAGATGGCAATTTTACACTGGCGCTGTGCGCCCACACAAAGCTCAGAGATAATCAAGCCAAGAACAACACAGTTCAGATACAAACTCGGTTCCAACTGGCGATGGCGCCTGAGCACCCACACATCCTCCTCTGTCCAACACTGTGTTCACCCAACTATTCACACGCACTCGACTGCGGATCTCCCTGAATTATCCCACGCACACTCACTCAGTACCACACACACACACACACACACTGAACTCCACCTCTAAACTACAGCGGCTATGGCCGCCTAATCCCTACTGGCTATGGACACTCTATCCCTCTTCAGCCCACTTCAACCTCGGGCATCTGCAGACCACCTCGCACAAGACGCCCGGCAGCTGTTCCGCATGGCTCACGCAGTAATGAATGAATGGCTGGACGCTGCCTCTTGATTTATACTTCTGTAAGTCGTTGGTCTGCCCTTTTCCACCGGGCCCATGGTGCACACAGTCCCTCATGGTACTTGCTGACTGTACAAAGTGAGACCGGGAAGCGAAGTTGGACTCGCCACTTGCCCACTTGCCTGGTCTTCTGTGTCTAACGTGAGAAGAAACTTGAAAGGCCACTTCCAGGCCTTCCGGAAGTTTGCGGACTTGACCTTTCAGGACTGTAGCAGCTACAACCTTGACCTTTCAGGACTGCAGCAGCTACAACCTTGACCCTTCAGAACTACAACAACTATGACCCCTACGCAGGTATGACCCCTACTTCGACAGGTCTAAGGTTCAAGACCCTACAGCTACTCAGACCTACGACAAACAACTTTCAACTACTAACACACAGGTCACAGGTTCAAGACACACAGGATCGACTTGATACTGTACACAGGGAAGGTAAGGTAAGGTAAGGTAAGGTCTGGGGATCGAGCCCTGGGATCCGCATCTGTGACTGCAAAAGGTGAAAACCGTTTCACCATCGGGGCCAGGGGGAGAAAAAAAAAAAAGATAAAGAAACGAAGAATCGTACAGGCAAACCGAACGGCTCTGAATAGGCCGGAAACTGCAACAACACTGACTGATTAATACTATTAATATAATTTAATAGTGATTATGCAATTAACATACAACTTGATACAAGGATATATGAGATGCCTCACTCATAGCAGATCGACAGATATACAAAAAAAAAAAAAAAAGGGGGGGTGATGATCCCGGTGATCCTCTTCTTTTTTTTTTTTTTTTTTTTTTTTTTCTGTTGAATAGGACCAGAAGGAAAGTATAGCTTGGTTGGTTACCTACCCGCGTTTTCCCTCCCACCCAACCATTTGCCTGCATTCCCGGTTTGGTACAGTGCCATGTCAGCAGCGCCACGTCAGAAACAGTGCCACGTCAGCAACAGTCCCCGCCACCATGACGATCTCAGTTCTGGGCATGCCAGGCCAACTGGCCAATGAGTCCATTGCCAAGTACCGACAGCGGTTCGAATCAGCTCGCACTGATCGAGGCTGAGGAACAGCCTCAGGCGGCAGCCGAGGCTGCCTACAAGCTGAAGCGGCGGCAGCAGCTGAAAAGCAGCGGCTTCAGGCCGAAGCAGACGCAGATACCCAGGCACGCCGCAAGGAGGCCCAGGATCTGCTACA